TTCTGTTTTAAATTTCAACAAAAGTTTATATATTTTAGCAATTACATGTTCATAATCAGTGCACAATTGTAGTTCAAATTCTGTCTTACTTTTTGTAAGTGTTTTTGTCTGTTTTGAATCTTTCTGATAACTGTAAATGGGAAAACCATTGGCAACTATATCCTTCTGCTATTAATTGTTCTCTTGATTTAATTTTAAATTCCCCTTGATGGTTTTCCAGTAGTTCTGGATATGTGAACCATTTGTCTGCTGTTTCTCTTCTGTGATATGCTTCTTGAGTGAGATCCATAAAGGTGTTTTTGGGCACAACCTGGGTTAATATCTATTCCATATTCTCAATATGGCCCATCAAAATAATTTTTGAAATCCACATTAATTTTAACTTCATCATACCATAAATGTCCATGCCACCCAAATTTCAGGTCATGCTCTTCTAGCTCTAAAAGTCTTTTGTTTCTCCGCAACATCCATTCTTTCATCCAGACCAAACAACAAATGGCAAAACACAATTTCAAATCCAGTCCTCTTCTTTCCTTAGGGCTGCGCCTGCTCTTCCAAGAGCAATTTTCTGTCTTTGCATTTTGCTGCATTGTTTATTTGTTTTTAAAAATACAAGTAGTAAGCAAAGTTCTTGCCATACTTGCTCAAGTATGCTTTTTCAGAAGTATGTTCAGATTGGGTGGAAAGCTATCTTTGAGCAAATGGCCTTCCTGGTAATTATTCAAAGGCTATCTGCAGTTTCCTCCTTCCAAGTCAGTTGGTGAGTATAGTGGGTCCAAGCATTGGCTAAGGGAGAAGTTGCTTTTCATAGTGCTTCTGAGTGCAAGTATTCAAATGTGTGTGGACTTCCCTTGAAACTTTTGTGCAATACTGAGATGACAATAATAGAAAAAAGCAACCTTGCAAAGAAGGAGGTTAGGCAAGAAAGGGATAGGGGAATGCAGCAAAGCCACCAGCACAGAATAACCTGAGTGGATGGGCAGAGGTGATAGTTAAACTCTTGCAAATGCTGCACGGGATTTTGTGAAATGTGCATATCCTATCATTTTTGTTTATTCATTTGTGCATGTTTATATGCCATCTCCTCAAATATTCCTGACAGTTTGCATTCATAAAACCTAAAATCATATCATTAACCAACATTTGTAAACACAGTCTCATCCTTGTCTGGATCCTTATGGTAGAGGCTGTAGAGAATTGTATAGTCAGAATTTCTGGCACTTACAAACTTTAAATATAAAAATGGAAAAACATTCAATTTATAAAAGGGCAGATGTTGGCATGTTGTAAATTGTTGGCATGTTGGCATGTTGTAGATGTTGGCATGTTGTAAATTCACACATTTGTACTAAAACAAATTGTAATGAATTCTCATTTCATTATTTAACTTTGGAAATTGTTGTTGCTTTCTTCTCAGAAGCTCTGAATTCTACGGACTGAGATAGTTCTTTGTTTCAGTTTTCAGGAAAAAAACAAACCGATATCATACTGTTGCTTAAAAGAAAATAAGAGAATTTCATATTGTTACAGGAAACTTATTTCTGATGAACTTGTTGACAGCAATAATATACAATCAGTTTCGTGGATATCTTCTGGTAAGTGAAATTTAACAAATGTTGCAGTTTATTATACAGTGGTACCTCGGTTCATGAACTTAATTCGTTCCACAACTCTGGTCGCGAACTGAATCGGTCACGAACCAAATCAAATTTTCCCATAAGGTTCAATGTAAATATGGTTAATCCGTTCTGAACCATATGTATTTTTTTTTTAACCACAAAAATATGAAACAAAGTACAGTACAGCATGAAGAGAGAGAACGCTAACCTTGCTCAAGG